AAAAAAAAAGGGAAAAAAGTGTATAGTTATTTAAAATAAATTGGTGTTTTTCATTCCTGCGATGGGAAGTCACAACTATATCACAGCTTTGTTTTTGTCACATGTTATTTTGTGTTTTTAATTACAGAATTAATTGCCCACATCAGAAAATTGGGGAGAGGGAAGTTTATAAACTACCAGATTTCCAACTTCCATTGAAAAATTAAAACACCTGACCACACTCCCTTTCTGAACATTATAAATCCATCAGGGCTGAGTAGTGGCTGTTTTTTCCAGATTGGGTTAATCTGTAATTGGCCCAGATGGCTTCGCTCATGTACTTAACCTGCCTATCCCTAACAGTATCTGAGTCTGTGGCTCCTGTTCCAGATTGTTGTGTAAGGCCTTTTCATAGTTAGTAAACAAGTGGATTTGTGTTTGGCAAATGAAAAAGCACCTTTTTGTTCCACAGATTCTCATAGAAGAGCTAAAGCACTATAATTCACATATTCCCATAAAAAAAAAAAACTAAACCAGGAATGTAGGAAAACCAAATAAATGATCAAGGAAAATAATAATTATTATAATAAATTAAAAAAACAAAACTAACAGGCAACTATAGATAACATTCTGCAAGGAAAGGGGAGGCTGAGGGATCAAAACAGGCAAGAGGAGCACAAGGGACTATGGTGACAGTGCACAGGTGAAGGGTGGTGAGAATTTTATGGGGATTACACCTGAGGAGAGAGTATACATTTACAAGAAGGAAGAATGATGTAAAATTTACAAAAAAAGCATTAGACCAATATCTCCACCATTACTAATGTTATTAAATTGGTATAAGAAATGGATTGCTAACTGAGATGCTAGCTATTCCTAGCTGTAGGACTGTGAGCATATCGCTCACTCTTTCTGGGCCTCATCTCTATGACCACAAGTTGTGGCAACCTGACCACAGAAACTTTCAGTTTCTGGAAGTCCTACCTATAGCTGATGATCCATGACTTCAACCAGAACCTCTAAAGAGTGCAAAAGGCAGCATTATCTAGCTGAGGATGCTAAAGCATGTAGTCCTGCACTTGTCAGGTGACCCTATGTATTTATAAAGTTTGCTGATTAAATGATTTAACCACAGTTGATTAAGACCCCTGTCTGCTCTGACTTTCCTTTATTTCAGGTTTCATTTTGGGATTTTATATGATTTTCTTTGAAAAGGATCCCCACATTAAAGAAGCTGATTCTGTCCATTTTAGATGATGGATTGACAGAGAGAGAGAGAAAGCTTTTAACTTGTGATCTGTTTGAGTTTTGTTAAAAAAAAAGGGGGGGGGAGGCACACTGGAAGGGGCATTTTCATGGGAACTAAATAACAAGTTCTTATCTTAGGACTTCAGGAAAAGAGAACATATTTTCCCTTATATATTCAAGTCAGCACCACCTCTTCAGAGCCCTGAACCTCTATCACTTTATTTGCATTACTGTTTAATAACTGGAAGTTTCATATGAACAGAAACCATATCTTTTCTATTTACTGCCATGTCCCTGGCATCTATTACAATTTCTGGCACATAGAAAGTACTCAATAAATGTAACTGAATTCATGAATTCTAAATTTATGGAGACTAATTATACTTATAGTTACATATAGCCCACCTCTTTCCAAGAAGAATTTGAGATTGAGCACATACTCTGCATATTCTTGTAAAACACTTAAGAGTTACAAACCCACCTAGAAGTCTATTACATGTGTTTTATCAGTTGATTTAAATGCACAGAAAATAAAGTATACTTGCTGTTGTGGTCAACATTGACCCAGCAATGAGCATGAACTGAAACTCATTAACAAAAATGTATCTCAGTGCACAACTGAACAAGCCAGTGTTCAGACTTTGATAGTCAATAGGGGCCCTTTTCCTCCCCTAATTAGGGACAGATAGAGCCTGATTGGGTCATCTCAACAAATAGTTATATGTTCCTGTTTCTTCATAATCTAATCTTGTCTATTTCTCTGAACTATGACTGTTGATCCCAGAGTATGTGTCTCTTATGAGTAGTGCCAGTTTTTCAAATGCTCACCTTGTTTTTGCCACATCCTACAAGCTAGGAGCTATCTTTCTCTACTGCTCACATCTTCCAGTTCTGCTTCAGTAGGCATTTTTTTTATAGTGACCGCTTTCTAAATTGGGTTGATCTCTAATTGGCTGGCTTCGTGCACACAAAATGAGAACATGAGAGGAAGACTACACAACATACAGGTGGAGAAAACAGAAACTCCAGGGAGGGAAGGAGAGAAATGTTGATGGGGATGGCAAAGGATAGCTGAGAAATCAGAAAAAGGGAATTAAGTAGAGACGGTGATGTGGGATTTACAAAAATTAATTACATAATCTCATAAAAACAGACCTACAAAAGGAACTCAAAATATCAATAGTAGAAGATGCAACAACTTTGGAGCACAGTGCTCAATGGAAAATATAAACATTTGAGTGAAGAAAAGCAGGTACTTTCTCTCTTTTTTGGTGGACATTTATAATTGCTGTTTTCAAATCTACCTCAACTGGTTGCCATTGACCTGCCATGCCTGTCTGGAGCAGCACAGTGACTTGGATGGTGTGGGCCTGGGGGAGGGGCTGCTCATGTGACCTGTTATGATAAGTTTTTTCATTTTCCTCAAGCTCTGTGGGTGCTCTGCACCTCAAATTCCCAGCTAATAAGGGAAATTATTGGCCTGACCTAATCCTTTAATTTTTTTTTCCCCACTCATGGCTTGAGCTTTCATTACCTTTCATTTTTTATTAAGAAGGAAATCAAAGAGTGAAAATTAAACACCTCCTGATTTATTGTCTCACTGAAAATGGGAAGTTGAGAGTCGTGGAGCTGGAACTGAATTGCAGGTCTAGAGGATGAGTGCTTCACCATTTTTACCACATGCGTGACAGCTGCCTTCACTTCCCTCTTGAGAACGGGGAACAGAACAGTCAGGAATGAGTCTACATTTAAATCTGGGTGTTGTAAAATCTGGCACTTCTCTGAGCAGAGATACGAAGTTTCAAATCACACTGGACTTTCCTCTTTTTAAACATTGGGGCCAAATTTGCATTAAATCTTTTACTGATGCTAGTTAAGTGTCTACCCACATTACTACTCAGGCAGAAAGGGTGTGTCCAAATTACCTGTTAATTCCCTGCTGCACACCAAGCTTGTGCAAGCTACTCCACAAATGACTAGAATGTGAAGGAATGCATGCATGCTAAGCTGAATTGATTTCTCTTAATTTGTATGTTTGTATGCATATTTAATAATACCCTGCCTCAATGCAAAAAGAAAATAAAGGAAGTATTACAGTCCCTTTTAAAAAAATCAAGCAGAACATTACCATATGGTCTAGCAATTTCAATTAGGGAAATACCCAAAGGCATTGGCACAAGGACCCAGACACTTACACAGCAATATTCATAGCAACATCATTCACAATAGCCAAAAGTGAAAACCACCCAAATGCTTATCAACAGATAAATGTGTAGACAAAACTTGATCTATGGAATATTATTTAGCCTTTAAAAGGAGACAGTTCTGATGCTTACTACAAATGGAGGAACTTTGTAAATGTTGTACTAAATGACATAAGCCAGGCACAAAAAGGTAAACCTTGAATGATCCCACCTATATAAGGTACCTAGAATGATTAAATTCAGAGTGACACAAAGTAAAATGGTGGTCATCAGAGGTTGGGGTGTGCTTTATTCTTTAGTAAGTTAGTAAATTCAATTTGGAATAAAGGAAAAGTTCTAGATGGATTGTGGTGATGACTACATAACAGTTTGAATGTACTTAATGAATGAATCATATACTCCAGCAAGAAAAAAGCAGTAGCTTATGTGTTGAGGTTTTTAGCAAAATTTCTTCTATGAGCTAACATTCCTGAATCATCTAAAAACAATGTTGTGCATATACAGCTTGCACCAGTTGTATGTAACAAAGAGGCAGTCTCTGCCCAGTCATACAGATTTAGGGGTTCATTGGTCAGCATGACCAGGCAGTGCCCTTTACCCTTGCAGATCTGTAAATGCTTATGCTGACTTTGTCATAACATGTGTCCACATACCACCACCTGCCCCCTAAACTTCTAGACTGACAATTACAGGAGAATCTTTCTTTTTCATTGAGTTACACCACCCACCTGACGTTGGTTCACTAGTATCAGCAGACCAGCCTCCAAGGACCAAAAAGCAGTGAAACTATGTCTTGACTCCCAGCCTGGTAGAACAGTGTCCCCCAGGGAGCCAGAGCTCACCATTGCAAAGTGGGTTTGAATTCCTGTTCCCTTGAATCTCTAGCAATGTAAAGATGAGCAAGTTGCTTAAATGAGCCTCAGTATCCCCAACTGTAAAATGCAAATACTACTCTGACTACCTCACACATTTGTGTTGAGGCTTAAATGAACTAATAATGCAAGTGCTTATCAAAGTATCTAAAAAAATATTCAATAAATATGAATTTCATACAAAAGATACTTTGCAAAAGATAACAGGAACTGAAGGAAGATGATCATGCATGTCATTACAGTTGAAATAGATGAACTCCACAATCTGAATCTTTCTCATGCCAGCCATGTTGGGGACACCACATGAGGAAGCAAGAATATAAGTGGGTGATTAAATTTCCCTCTAGGGAAATGGGTATTTTTCAGAGAATCCTTTCTAGTGTTCTCTCATCTGCTACCCTGTTCCCTGTTCATTAATCTTTTAGATAGTTTCTTTCTGAATATCTATTAGAAAGTTTACTTATGTACACTTAGAATATGTCTTAAGGCCTGTGAATCCAAAGAATATTGGGTCATGTTAATACCCAGTGAGCATAAAACCCACTAAGAAGAGTCAAGGTTGAATTTATTTCCATCAACGTGATGGTTTGAAGGAGCACTTACTCCATAGTAACACTCCATCCATGATTGTAGTCAGTCAAACTCCCATACTGATAGTAAACTCCCTAACTTTATTCTCTTAATTTTTATTATTCAGGTGCATCTTCCCAAAACTTGGAGAGATTTATAAAAAGGTAAGTGAGAAAAGGATATAAGAACTTGCTTTTATATTGGATTTCTTGTCTTGAAAAAATTATGGAAATTTCTCCATTGCTCTCCCTCCATCATTGGTATTGTGTTTATAGCTTGCTAGCAACTATCCAAACACCAAAATGTTAGCATCTCATGAACCAGTTAATGCAGAAAACAAAAAAGATTACTTCATATTCCTGTCTTAGAAATAAAAAGATATTTAAACTTTGTGTTTAAAATTCAGAAACAAGGAATGGACACTTAATAAGCCCTTGCTTTTATGAAGTTGACTACAGGTCCATAGCTAAACACCTATTGATGTCCTACTAACATGAACATAAGTAATCCAGGCAAACTCACCTCTGTTTATTGATGACAAATGCTGTGAAAGATACTAAGAAGATGGTAGTGTCTGCCCCTGTTGGAGACTTCAATGCACTCTTTCATTCTATGCATCTGTACATTTATGTGGTCTTTCCCTGATAGGACATGGGTTAAAAAATTATAGAGAAGAAGAGGAAATGGTGATAATGAAATGAAAGAAAAATAAAAAATTTACCAACTGGGTGGTCATGTAATGATTCTTTCACAGACCCAGCTTCTGATGCTGGCTACCAACTGTTTCCAAGTGTTTAACATGCAGATTCCATCTGTGGTCTCTCAGTTTGTCCAGGAACCAACAGTTGGACCATCCAGCCATCGTCATATATGCCATGATTGGAAATGATGTCTGTAGTAGGTGAGTTATTGAGAAAGTAAATTTTGAAAAATTTTTAGCTCTGGGTTTGCCCTGCTTCCCCACCTGACCTCACTCTGTTACGGTAATGTACTGTTGAATTGAATCTCTCCATCTTAGAGGCAAGTCCTAGACACATGTGAAATTAACAGAACCAATCCCTGAAGCTAAAAGGCCCCTTTAAAAATATCTGATCCACTGATTCTGTGCCTTGGTGCCACAAAAAATGGATGTGTCATCATTAATTCTGATTTTTATCACAAGAAAAATGCTAGCCATGAATCCTAGATCAAGAATCATGACATTTTAAATAAAATAAGGCATAATCCCAGTTAACCGGTAAGAACATCTTCCTCACTTATATCCCAATATGATTGCTCATATGGTAGAGACAGCATAAACTTATAGAATTTATAAGGAACCTGCACAACTTATGGCCAGTCAATTTATGCCCATGGCCTATCATAAGAAAGCAGTTTTGCCAAACTGCTAATTCAGTAGGTTGGCAAAATGCTATTACCTTAGTATCCCCACAGCATTTAGTGAGTTTTCTATAAATCTGCATGTACCCTAAGAATATGCAAGTCATGTGAATGTCATTAGTCCTGTGATGACATCCAAAAAACAAAAATAGTTGATATCAGATCTAAAGCAAGTCCCTAGTAGCCAACCATTTTAGAAATAGAACAGTAAGGCCTTGAGAGATTAAGTGACATTCCAAGACAATTCAGTTGGTGGATAGCCAAACTGTATTCCATCTCAAGTGGGGCTGGAGGTCAGTCATCCTGTTCACCTCCACCCACCCTTTGCCTCCCTATTGTTCACTCACCAAGCTAAGTACACCCTGAAAATCAACGTTCGATATTATTAAGATGTGTTTGCCTTCCCAGATACCTCCATTAGTACCCAAGAGCTCTATGGTTGAGGGCATATAGATTCAATAATTAAAGTGAGTTCAGGACAGAAGATACCATGACATGATCTGGAGCTTCTGATGTGCCAGATCTTTCTACAATAGCACCTCCTAGGTGCTTCACTGCTTTCCATAGAAGCCCGAAGTTAGTCGAGGGTGACTACCTACTGGAGACCCGATCTGAACTTCTGTGATGAGACACTTGGAACTCTCTGGTAAATAGAAAACATATCCCCAAAGTTTCCATGATCCGAGAGCCATACCACTTTGTGTTAGTTCACCCCACAGCAGACCTAAGAGGCAAGTACTATTGTCCCATTTTAAAGATGAGGTTTGGCAAGTTTAGGGAACTTGCTTTTACTGCCAATGAGCAGCAAAGCTGCAAGCCAAACCAGGTTCTCTGGCTAAATTCTATCCTCTTTCTATAGTCCACATGTCCCTTGTTTGTTTTCCTTTCCATGTTCATTTGTTTAAAAGTATGGACCGAGCACCCAGTATGCTAAGACTGTGCAGGCTTTGAGAACAATAGCAAAGAGTCGACAGTGCCTGACCTCAAGAAGCTTATGGAGAAAGAAGATTGCACTTTAGCCCCAACCCCATCACAAAACAGAAAAGCTCAAATCAGCCAGTGTCCCTCCAGCCTGTGGATCACATTTCCCTAGAGGACACAGAGAGCAAACTGATTAGTTACACTTAAAAAAAAAAAAAAAAAACTGACTCAGAAGCTACATCCCCAGAAGTGTTCCAGTCCCGCCGTGGTTTTCCTTTTCCAAAGAGCCACAGGTCAGACAGACATCAGTCAGCGACATGTGCCAATCTGTCCCCACCAGGAATCTGGGCAGAAAAGCAGCAAGCATTTGGGTGAAAGAACAGAGTTGGCAGTGTGGGATATCCCTGCAGTGCCCACTTTGCAATGTCCTGTGGAGGGGTTAGAAAAATAAAGACAGATGGCAACTCTACCTCCCCATCTGCCGGAACATCAAGGTAGAGGAGATAACCCAAAGTGAGCAAAGTGATTTCAGAAAAAAACTCAAGGCAGCAAAGAGTTGCATAATAAGTCCATCCTAGAACAAGTTTCACTTTTCTTTTTTTATAATGATACCAGCTCTTAGAAATAATGTAGCTATGTGATTCTTAATTCTCTAAATGCCTGCAGTTGCTTGACAAATACTTGTTAAGTAAATTAAGATCACAAATGGAAAATAGCTTTCAGCTTCAAAAATTCAAAACGAAAGGTAAGGTAGACAAACCCAGCTTTCTGATTGTGATCCTATTCAATTTGGACCCAGCTAACCCAGCTTCCATTAGCCAATAGTATCACTGCTTTCAAAAATTTTAGAAGGTGAGTAAAGCAGGGAGAGAAATTCCTGGAAATAGGCAACTGTGAGGGACTTACAGCAACAGAAGCAGGGACAGCAATGCCTACGGGGAAAAGCTCAAGACCTCCCTAGTCATAAACTCTCCCCAGTACCCCAGCATGACATCCCTAGAAACTACACTGGAAATGTGATTCAACCACAGAAGTGTCTAACCCTGGTCATATGTGCAGGCTGGTTGCAGTTTTTCATAGTGGGGCTAAAAATTATAAATCGCTCATTTTTCAACTAGTAAAGAGAGCCAGTAATGGCACACAAAGGTTGTCTGTGTCCCGACCCCCAAGCATTTTTTCAGTAATACTTCAGATGTCACTAAGAGTAACTGATCAAGGCTACATCAAGGGAAAGCAGCCAAGCTGCTGACAGGTCACAAGCCCCAAGGACCCTGGACTGCTGAGAAATACAATTCTATCCAATCAAACAGTAGAGAAGTCAGCAGGGAAGGAAATGGGCAGACCTGGTATTCGTTCTCCTGGCCTCCTCAGTCAAGGCATGGTGAGCCAAGGAAATGATAAGAAGTTTTCATCCAGCCCACTCATCTTTCATCCAGCCCACTCATTCTAGTCACACTCATCTTTTGGGAACCCAAAATCTCTGTGTATTGGATAATGTGGGTCCATTGGGTCCCACCCCATTCCTAAACTGGCTCTTCAAGGAGGTTACATGGAAGGTCAGAGACTGAATACAGCTGACTGGCATGAAGAAGTTTCAAAACAAGTGCTAGCTGTGAGTTTTGAGCACTCAATCATGACAAGTCTCTGGGATTTAACTTTGGGTAAACATTTTCTGAGAAACATTTCTGGGAAACATTTTCTGCAGCAACTGCTTGTTTCTACCTTGAGAGGGGACACACCTCTCTGGCATCAGCCCAGTGAAATCCAATGGGATACCTGCCAGGGTAATGAAATGAGAATGGCCAGCCCTGCACCCAAGTCATGAGGATTATTCTGCATGATCAGATACAATTCATTTGGCTGAGGATAGACTCTGAGACACCCAAGGGGCAAGGCCACTGTCTGTGGCCAAACTGGCCATGTGTTCCTGCTGGATTTTTCAGAGTGGATCAGAAGGCAGTCAAGGGGTGATCTGTCACTTAAACCCTTTTGCCCTCACTTGAAGTAAGAATGGGTTAATTTTGCTTAAAGAAATTCTTGACAAGACACATTTGCAAATTACGTACGTAACTGTCTATAATGCAGCAAAGAAGTCTGAGGAGTGTTCCATTAGCAACTCAGGTCTTCCATTTCTGTTTCACTTAGTAATTAGCCATTTGGGTTATGTTTGCTTAATTTATAGAAGTTATAGGATGCCCTTTCCTAAGTATGTACTAGCTCAGGTTCTTCATTGTTTGTTAATATGATGTGTTACATTAATTGATTTATGTATGTTAAACCATCTCTGCATCCCTGAGGTAAATCCCATTTAATTATAGCCCTTGTGATATACTGCTGAATTCTATTTGTTAGTGTTTTGCTGAAGATTTTTACATTGATGTCAATCTGGGATATTAGTCAGTAGTTTTTTTTTTTTTTGTTCTTGCACTGTCTTTGCTCATATCAGTATTAGGGTATCACTACCTCTGTATTCACATTGGACTTTTTCCCTATGTGTTTATTTATTTATACTCTTACTTTTCGTATAGGGATGCCATTATTTGTATTTAGGTCCCCTTTAATCCAAAATAACCTCATCTTTACTAATTATAGCTGCAGACACCCATTTTCACATTCTACTGATGCCTTGCCACCCATGACATGATCATTAGGTAAATTTCTGAAGCCTTAAGGACTCAAAATAGAAAACAACTTATAGCATTATTCCACTTAAGTTAACGACAGGCAATTTAGAGCCTAAAGAGTAGATGAAACCTTAGAGAATTTTTTACTTTCCTCACAGGTTAATGCAGGCTACTCTCAATGCAAACTTGATGTGCTCCTTAAAGTCTGTAAAAAAGTGAACTGTTAAAAAAAATGTATAGCACTTATATGTCAGTTCACTTATCATTTTCATCTTTGTCTTAAATTTTTTATTTATGCCTATGATCTTATCACTACTTTTCAGCACTTTTGTTTCCTACTTAAATGGTCTGCAATGATCTTCTTTTATGAAACAACTAACTTTTATGAAACACGAAGAGAAAATGTATTTAAAAATTCAAATTTCCTTTATAGGACACAAACACTACCATGCGGAGAAACATACAGTAATGCAAAATGAAATTGCCTACTGGCATATATTTTCAAAGTCAGTGTAGAAAGGACAGATAGAGTGTGAGCACATAATGTCATCGCATTTCTCAGTGAAATTTTACTTCTCAAACTATGATATACATGAATGATCAAAATTGCAGACCTTAAAGTGTCAAACAAACAGTATCAGACTCCTTCAATTCCATCCAATTCATGTATATCAATCAGTATGTATTAGTTTATGTTTCGGAGACAAATACCCCCTTGAAATCTTAGTAATATGAAGTAATGGACATTTACTTCTCACTCACACTACATGTCCATCAATGATTACCATGGAGTTCTATCCTAGGTGTCACAGTAGCAAAGCAACTGCTGCCTAGAACACTACAGTGAGAAGACCATTGCAGATTCATTACAGATCCATGGAAAAATAAGAGCATTCTGGAGGCTCCTACCAGCTAACATGACATGCCACATGTCACTTCTGTTCATAATTCATTGGCCAGAGCAGTCACAAAGCCAACTTCAAGGGAGTCAGGGAGCCAAGGATGTTTTTGCAAGTACTACCAAAGTACCAAGTATAACCTCTATATATTTGTGGGGAGTGTGAGGGGAAAGTGGGTGCGGTGGAGGAAAGGGGAAGTATCTTTTGCCCACACAAATCCTTATAATTTACTAAGATGTTTTCTATTCCTTTTCACCAACAGGAAATTTGACCCAGTCCCAGTAATGACTACTCCTGAGAAATTTTACTCCAAGGTGATGCAGACACTGGAGTATTTAAATGCCCACCTGCCTAATGGCAGTCATGTTATTTTATACGGCTTACCAGATGGAACCTTTCTTTGGAATAACTTGCACAACAGATATCATCCTCTTGGTATTAGTTTAAAAACATTTTACTCAATATTTTTAGACTTTAACAATGTCAATGTATGTTCAACTATATGTAGTTCAAATCATAGAGGAATACTTAAAATGCCATCACAGTATATGGGTCAGAAATGAAGAAGGTAAGAGCCAGAGGTACAAGATCTAAGAGTAAGTGTCCAAAGGTAGGGAAAACCAGATCCAAAGTCAGAAAGAACAGAAGGGTTTAATGAAGAAGTAGGACAAATCAAAATGTAGGAGTTGAAAACAGGAAGCTTCTTTAACTATAGATGAGATCTCAAAAGAGCTGATGAAGCTGAAACAGGAGACAACCCTGAGTCAAAAGAGATGTCTCTAGAACACCAGTGATGAGTGTCCCCTGGTGGTCTGTTAGAATTCTGTAGAACTTGGTTCTACAATGTTTGCTCCCTGTTCCTATAGTCTCTTAGTATCTTTGGTGTTGAAATACATTTTAAAAACTTTTAAAGTACTTTAAGAGAAGAAAAAAAACTTCTAATAATATCTCTGGTCTTCAAATCCTCTAAAAATGTTGCAAAAGTTGTCTTAATTCACATTAGGAAGGACTGCATGCTGATCCTAAAATGGAAATAGATGAGACAGAGGTTTTTATTAATTCTATTATATAAAATAAAAAACTGAGCCTCAGAGAGGTTAAGTTGCTTGCCAAATGTTGCCTTGCTTTTCGTATATGTAAGCTTGGGGCAGCAGGCTCTTCTTTCTGTGTTTCAGGAAAAGAATGTACTTTCAAAAAATAATTAGTAAGTGCTTACTATGTGTCAGGAACTATTCCAGGCACTAAATAAATGTGGGGAATACAATAGTCACAAATCTCTGCCAATATCAGGGATGTATTCTAGTGAGAGAAAGGCTCCAAAAGCATTTCAAAGGATGATGTGTATTATGGTAGAAAATTAAGTAGGAAAGGAAGCAGGAAGTTTTGGTCTCAGGGCTCTCTGACAGGCATCTGCAAGAGCAGGCCAGTGTGCTTTCCCTCAGTCCCATTTTGATATCACCAGTGCCAGTCTCACATGGAAAGGGGCAGCCAGTTTCCTGATACTTTCAATGCCAATTCCTTCAACCAAAAAAAGCCAAAATGTGCTGGAGGTTCAAGAGTCAGGTAAGTAATTCAAAAAGGGAAGGCCCGAACTCAGTGCCCACCACTGGGGGTGGAGATAGACTGCTTTTCCTTGTATATAGAATTTCTATGCCTTTTCTCATTCTCCTCCATGTTGCTTCTGTAGTCCCTGTTTAAACCAGACACCTTACCTTCCTCAGGAAGTTTAGTCCTACCCATATGAAAAAGATTAGAGATCCTTTAACCAGTTCTTAAAGGGCTTTGGGGCCTGCATAATGGAGAGGTGGGTACACAGTGGAACACACCCATTCCAGGTCACCCACATGGGGGCTGAAATTGATTTATCATAAATGTTATTAACACTGTCCACTGCCTTGCACAAAGAAAGCATATTTCCCTCTTCACTCAATTTTGACCCTGCTCCTTAAAAATAAAACATGACCATAGGAGCACTGGATTTCATTCTGGGCTACTAAAACACATAAAGAACAACTGCTCTGTTGAGGTTGCTGATTTAAGTCATTGGATATGAAAATTGCAGTTCCCCCAATAGATGTTTTTAGATTCCTAAATTTCTCCTACATTAAGAAATGTTTGGGAACTGGGAAGTTGGGGGCAGGGGACATCCGCTATCAATTTACTGTATCATACCAATTTGACTGAGTTTTCTGACTTCAAGTCCCATTCTCTTTCCATAAACTCCTTAGATGAACTGTGTAAATTCAGATATGCCATATTATTCACTTCACTCAACCAAAATATGTAATAATGATGCCAGGCATTTTGGAAGGAAGCTCAAAAGGGGAAATAGCCAGTAAGGAGTTATCACCACATTTTGTGGATTCTCCAGGGCAATGGTTCTCATCTGGGGACAACCCACACACTTCCACCACCAGTTATCACAACTGGAATCTAGGATCTAGTGAGTAGAGCCCAGGGATATTCCTAAATACCCATAATTGTATAGGAAAGCTACCCATAACCAAGAATGTCAGTAACACCGAGCTTGAGAGAGTCTGCTTGAGGTTTTGCTTTGTCCTCCTCACGTGGTCGCTCTTTAGTCACTAACCATGCCCTAGAATTTCACAATATAAATACGGTCTGTACAAACAATCCTAGTTTTCAAATAAATCCAATTAAGGAAAAAACTTGAAACCATCTAAAAGTTATTAAATATTTTAAGTTATTATTCCTATTGTAAATTATCTCTGTTGCCATGGGCAATAGATTCTTCAATGAAGCCTCAGGGTTCATCCAAGAGAGACCAGGGAAGTAGGTAAGATATGCCCAGCTTCTCCAGTCCTCCTTGGACAGGTTCATAATTCATATAAAATGAGAGGTTTAAAATGAGAGTTTCTGCTTTCATCTTGTATCTGTTTTGTTTTGCTTTGCTTCAAATCTGACAGACATGAGCCAGAAGTGAAGTAAGGCTAATACTGAACCAACTTCATTGTTTAGTTGTTCTACCTAGATTAGTGTGGAACCCACCTTAATAAATGCCAGGATACTGTGCTAAATGTTGTGTGAAGCAAATAAAGAATTTTGCCTATAATTTATTTCTAGTCTAAAAATGTGATGATGACCTTTAAACTTGGTGTTAGCTACCCATTAAGTACTAGGAAATATTTCACTAAGATGAAAGGGTTGGAAGAGAAACCCTGAGTCAGTGATACTTATCTCAGCTGCATCAGTAGGACAGGTGGGAACTCAGCTAAGCTTTCCGTAAACAACAGGTTAAATATTACAGCACCAGATCAACAGGTAAGGGAGATACAAAATGGAACAGGTTCCCAGCTCACTCCTACCAGTATGAAAAGAATAGAGTCCCTTCCAGCCTTTGTGAGTTACTGACCAGTCAGTACCTGGCTGCCAAAAACTGGGACAGTCTCAGGCTCTGCCAGTAATTCACATTCCTGGTGAGATTGTCGTTTTAAAGGATTACCAGAGATTAAGTCTTACATATTAAAATTCTGCATACATCGATTGTTTCAGGAAGGTCAAACTTGACCATGGAGGTATTCTTTCTACCGTAGATGTAGAAAGCAGTTATCCCATAAGGTAAAGATGGTGCTAAGATGAAGTTGCTAACCTCAAAGGGAAGAGAAAAGGCAACTCCACTGGAGAAAACAGGAAATAAATCCTGATGGTGAAATTACCAAGTGCTGATGAAATCAGTGCAGCCACAGGCATTCTTTTCCCACTTACACTAGGCATTCTGAGGGCTGCCTGAAGAGCTGACTGTCATCGAGAAGGCCTAGAATTTATGGATACAGATAAGTTTGCAAAGAGACCTTCCTTGAAGGGCCTCTACTACAAAACATCTACAGCTTAATTTTGCCCTCATGACTCTAAAACTTAAAACTAATGTACTTTTAAGTACCTTATTTCATCACCAGCTTCCTCCTTGTCTGAATTAACATGCTTTTCCTAAGATTGGTTACATTCAGATGAGAATTCATGGAGTTGAGACTGATTCTAGTTGACACCAAGCTTCTATGGCACCTAAAACTTTAAAGATGATCCAAATATTAAATAAATGCCACAGACCCTGACCAAAAGAACTTACAAATAATTGAGACACAAGTTGATGTTACAGCCAACTGGAGTACAATGTGCCTTTTTTTTCTTTAAAGGGAGGCTCTGGTACCCCTAGGCCAGCCTACTACCTGCCTTATACACACAAATAAACACAGAGACTCTATCCTGATAATTCCTGGTCAGTGTGGGACAGTCCTATGGGCTGGTTCCACATGTTCTTGGCCAGATTTCTTCACCAGATTCCCTATCTGAACAGTCTCAGATACCATCTTTTTATAGGTGTGACCTCTAGGCAGGATCCTATGTCAAGACTCATCAATATGCAAAAGCATCTTTAAAGTAACAGTGATAAAAAGTAATACCCAAAAGGAAGTATAAATGGCCAACTGACAGTGCCAATGGGGGAAAGTATTGTAAAGTCTGTTTTCCTTCTTTTCACCATAAGCCCAGCAAAGCCCATCTCAAATACTCACCCCACCCCCAAAGTCACCCTACCCTTTAACAAGCAGAAGTCAACTTTTCACCTTTCCCAGTTGTCTTCAAACTCTACCTAAAATGCCCATTTTCTATTCAGCAGATCTACCTACTCCCACTGAGGAATTTTCCTTTATCAGCCTGGTCCCAGTAGAGCCAGAGTCAGAAGGGTAGAGGGATAGAGGGGAAAGAGATAAGACTTGGAAGAGGACCAGAGTAAGGACATGCTTTGTGGCCTATTCCTAAGGTGGCTGGTGGCTCAGCAATAACACAGCAGGAAGAGGTAATAAGTCAGGATGGAACAAAATTTTGACCAGATTTAACACTCAAGGGCAGTCTGCAGATGGATTCCCAGTATCCAGAAAGAGAACAAACTCCAGTCCCTTGAATATCAGAGCAATCCAGGCTTGTAGGTGGAAAGGGGTAACACAGGAGTATTATTTTGGGTAAGGCAGGAGTTTCACCTCCCCTGCCCTTGGAAGACCTCAGCTTCTGAGCAGAGTAAAGAGACCTCTTCTCAGTAAGAGGGAACATGTCAGGGCCAACCTAGTGTTGGTCCCAACCAAGATGCTTAATGTTTATTACAACTCCTGTTCCCAATCAAGAAGCCAGATGGTAGAGGGAAGGCTATAGCCAGTGGGGGTGAAAGCAGCCTCAGCACAGGGCAAGACCAAGTTATTAGGGTATGTAGAGGACAAAGGTGAGGAGTAGAGATTGGAGTGTCAGTCACCCAGCTGGCCTAGGCCAGGATAGACAGATCTACATATCAAAAGGAGCCAAATTGCCAAACACACATAAGAGAAAAAGGGCAAGAAGCCTTAGTGGTGGAAAGCAGGATCTTGGTAAAGACAAAGCTGAGGGCTCCATCTTTACCAGGCTGAGGACTCCACATGAGGACCTGACATGAAAAACAAAGACAGTGGCTTGGGATTCATGCAAATGTGAAGATGCAGACACCATTGGAGAACAGCAAAGTCCTGGCTGCATTGTGATGTTAATAATGGCAATAATAAGCCAGTGGTTTTCCAGTCTTGGGATTCACATACCCACACAGAGAGATAATATATTTTTCCTATATGACAAGAAAATTGAATCTATCTTTCAGTTTAACTGATCTGAAGTATAAGTGAAAAATAAGACTGTGTTCCATCACCTTCAATCTTTTTCTTCACTCTGAGATAGGTCCTATTATTTCCCTTTATTTTTTCAAGCATGTGAGAAGTGTTAATAGATAGAACATCAGTCATTCACCCGTGAGATTTGCGAGAACCTGAATTTTGTGTCTCAGTCACAGCATGAAAGTTGAATTGCCACTTGGGGTGGATATACTGGAAGGAGGGCTGGGAAGAAAAGGGAGGCATGTGAGAAAAGGAAAGAAATAATACCCACAGACTCACTCTACAGCTGATATTTGGAAAGGCTCTGGATGAATTTGCATATGGTACTTTTATTTACTCTATCCTGCACCAAAAAAAAAAAAAAAAATGTAGAGCATGCCTACAATTAGGACTAAAATGGGATATTCTTCACACCATAAAGCGGGTACTGACACCCCCCTGATTGCAATGGCCACTCATGTATTTAGGAGACCCTCAGTTCACCAAACTGCAGGGCACTACACAGTCAGACCTTCAGACACTTGAGATGTCCTGCCAGGTCCTCAGCATGATACAACTGGGTCAGAACCACGTGCTTTGTAAGCTTGGAAAGAAGGATTTGGTCTAGTGGCACCATGAAAGCCCTCTGTACCCTGAGAGGACTTGGCATTTCACACCAGTACCAAGAGAAAGCCTCTGCTCTGCAAAGTCCTCTGTTAGTGGTGTCAGTCCTGGGAACTCTGTAGCCCCCTGCGTAGGCCCTGCCCGAGTCTAGGAGAGAAATCTAGATGGGAGTGGATCACTCCCCAATTCTGAGTCTAAATTTCTGGGGTCTCAAGAGAGAAGGAAAGCTCAGACACCCTTCAAGAGCAACACTAAATGAAAACCCAAGACAGGTCCCTGGAAGTGCCAGCCTTCTGCAGAGGAGAAGGTCATCAAGTGTTCCTTGCAGGGTTGTCACATCGTTGCACAATCAGCATTCCAGACCCCTCTGTTTTCCAGGTCAGCTGAACAAGGATGTGACCTATGCAGATTTCTACTCTTTCCTGAACTGTCTCCAGGTATGGTTACTCTGACTTGTTCCAAGACCACATCCCATTAGTGTCTCTTTCCTCTGTAGTCAAAGTGGTATTTTCCTGCTCTCAGGTCAGCCCCTGTCATGGCTGGATGTCATCCAACAAGACACTCCGGACTCTCACGTCAGAGGTAGGAGAATTCAGTCATTCTTATCCTGTGTGAGCTTCAGTAATTTTACTTGGACCGAGGTTTCAGCAGTCTCCAAGCTGGTGAAAAACAAAATCTGACCTCAGGGGTATTTGAGGAGCTGACAGGGCACATGGGTGCTCTGTCTTTAACTTGGGTGTCTCTATGTTGCTGTGTCTCTTAGTCTGTACACCTCTGTCACTGTCTCTGTGTGTGCATGTCTCTCTCATATATGCACACACTGAAACACACACACACACACTCAGTTTTCAAAGCTAGTCCTAAGCATATTTGGAGAGGCATATCTGAAGCTAGTACCTCACACACTCCCAGGGTGAATGAGGACCGTATGCTCTGGAATTGTCCTCTGTTCTCTGATGGAACCTGTGGTTCAGGCATTTCATTTATGGGTGGTAAATATTTTATTTTAAGGGATTTATTGAATTTTTTTCTCTAGAAAAGAAATTTCAATTTAAAAACACAGGGAGAACACAGAAAAGTACAAAGAATAATTTTCACTACAGTTATTATATCTGTCTTTCCAGTATCACGTCTATAGACAGAAATGTTTGAGAGTTTCACTCCAGGGTGTCAGAATAGACATGTTGTTTTATGTTTTACAGTGTTCATATATTATTCTTATAAACCATAATTTTGTAACTATTTTACAGTATATAACACATGAATGTACCAAATTTTCCTTGATAGTGGACCTATATTATTTCCAGTTTTTCACTATGGACGATAAATAGCATTTTGATGGACCCTGTGTCTACATATAAAAACAACTATTGGACTTTGTATGCCATCTCTGTTTTCTTAGACCAACTCCTAGAAAAATTATTGGGTCAGAGGACACACTCATATTTAAGGCATGCAATTCATGTTGTCAGATTACTTTTTAGAAAAGCTGGAACAGTTGTCATTCTCAATCTCCTGTCCCACAGCAGTATTCTGTGTTGTCATGGTTGTTCATCTTTTCTTTGCTAGTCCCAGGGGAATTTGTGGGGAATGGTATCTTATTACTTTAATTTGCACTGATTTAGTTCCTAATGAATGTTAACGGTTTTCATATATTCGTTGGCCATTTGTGCCTGAATCAAATTTAATGTGCAGAGCTACTCTCTGCTGATGCCTTGGAGTGGGGGTGGGGACTATTGATTTCTTTGTTCTGCCGGAATTATCTCCCTAAAGATAAAGTTGAGGTTTCATGAAATTCTCCCTGCTTCCCTTTATCCAGAGAGCAGAACAACTCTCCAATACACTGAAAAAAATTGCATCCAGCAAGAAATTTACAAACTTTGATCTTTTCTACATGGCTTTTGACTTCCAAGAAAGTAAGTTTGCTTGGTTTCAGTATTGACAAGACAAAAGCAGCAACTACAATTTAGAGCCAGCAGGCAGTAGATAGGATAGGATCATCCTGCTCATTCTGACATGTTAATAGCTCTGAGTATGGACAAAAGTTAAAGTAAGAGACTCTGCCTGGGAAGGTGGAAGCTCAGCATCACCTCCTTATTTCCTCATCACTTTAAAATCCCTGAAGCAATAGAGCCAGTGACCAGCTGAAAACATCTTTGGGCAAGGAGCAGACAGGTCAGTGTACTCTCCCAACCTGTTCCTGCTAGTTTATTTAGCGACTCCCCACTTACCAGGGACCAAGGATAACTGTGACAGAAACGAGGAATGAAGCATGACCTCTCATAAAGGGAACCTAGGGCCTTAATACAGTGATCATCCCCAGGCCCCAAACATGATGAAATCTATCAGATACTCTAAGGAAGACTTTGCCTGTGGCCAAGTGGACAACTCGTATGAGCTATCTGGAACATCATTGTTCTTTCCTAGTACTCTGGCCAGGCACTGGGATCCCTGATAAGTGGCCATACATAAATAGGCATGATGGCTGGAGCTACAGCTTTATCCTTTACATCTTGGCGCTGAAAAATTACTATTTATTGACTTTAATCCTTCCAATCTCACTTTCATTGCTAAGCAATTGTTGTGCAAGAGAAAAGCCTCCTGTTGATTGACTGCCAGCTGAGATGATGCTAATGAAAAGCTTTACAGTGTAAGCAAAGGATGGAAAATTTCTCATCCAGAGTTTATCATCTCTATCTTCCAAACACCAACCCCCCCCACCCCCAGCCCAAGCATCTGGGATAGAGCAGATGGCCATCATGAATTATCAAATATTACATTAGCTGACATGTTTTGCATTGCAGACGCTAATGCTTCAATTCTGAACATCTTTTCAACAAGACTGATCTCCCTTAACTAGATTGCCTGCCTAGGTGACACACATTTCCCTCATGGGAGAGACATTTTGATAAATAACTTCTCATTAAAATGCAGAGATAAAGATTCATTAATGAATTCCTGGTATAAACAAGTACACCACCAAGTGATCTTCGATCATCATCAACCTTGGATATAGACAAAGTTATTAAAAACGTAATAATGTCTAACATTCACATCGAACTGCTTCATTTTCCATAGTAACCCCCCCAACTGTGTCATTTTTTTTTTTAATCTTTGGGACTATAAGCAATGCCCTGAACATTTCTAAACTCTCCTATTCAGCTCTGGAAATAGGGACATCATGTCTACACAACAAACCTTTGGGATGATCATATACAAAGTGTCATCTTCCTAAATTCTGTGCCTAAATTCTAGTACATAGTCAATACCAGTGAAGAGTAGCATTCACTCACATCCTTGTATTCAACATTTGGTTCAGAATGAGCAGCACCTACACCACTTAAAGGCAGGTTACAAATGCAGATTCTTTCCTGGAAAGCCTCATAGGTATTTCTCCTTACTGGGCAGCTCTCACCAACAAAGAATTTCCTGATATTTTGTCATTTCTCGCTTTATGAATATAAATGTGAAGATTTGTTGTGTCACAATGTCTTCATCCCCTTCACTGTGTGAAGCTGGTGGGCACTTCACTGGGATAGACCCCTGGCCACCACAGAAAAGAGAGTGGAGTCAGAGGTCAGTGCCTTGGGATGTGCCTGCATGAACATGACAGAGCATCATGCATTTCCCACAAAGGTGTGGCCATGGCCACTTCCTAAGGCATTGGAATTTTAGCTTAGTTTTCAGAATTATGGTTAGGTCTTGACCTAGGCTAAAGTTAGGCTACTGCAAAGAGAATTTTTACCTTGAAATTTTAGCATTTTCCTTAATGGGCAAAGGGGTAACCCTACCCTAGGTTCATATCCACCTCCCATACCCAGACCATTAACCATCCTTGAAATCTGACCACCTCACACCAGTGGAATGTACTGGCATAAGAAGAACCCAAATTTACAGTCAGACAGAACTGTATTTCTGTCCCAAATCAGACATAGAATGGCTGTGTGGCTTCAAGCAAATTAATCAATTAGGTTTTGTTTCCTTTTGAGTGAGGCAGCAATAATGAAATGGTTGTATTCATGTAAAGACTTGAGACAATGCTTATCATGTAGTAAGGATTCAATAAACTATCAGATACCTTCATTCCACCATTTGCACCCAGTATACTAGGCACCTACTATACTCTCTTTTGATACAAAGGAAATAAATGTTTATTCTCATTCAATGAGTCCCACCTCTAATCATGCCTGTCGATACTGAGTCGGCCTGTGCTATTATGCTGATGTTTACAGGTATGTAGTGATTAGTGCCTCTGCCCTCACAACAACCATGTAAGAAAATGGTCTTTTTCATTGTGAATACTCTGATTATAAACTTTGTAGCCTGTGACATTTCTTTTAACACCTATGGGATTATTTTATGTAACAAGTCAGTTCTAAACACTGCACTCCCTCTACTGTCTGACTAGTGAGAGGGAGGAATGGGATTTGGGGGTCATGCACATGTTTCCTGGCAAGGAAGACTATGTAATCATTGATATTGTTTAGAATTGCTCGAGCGTGGAATAATAAAATGTCTCCATACTAAGGTTTGCCCCAGCTTCCTTGCAAAACTTGTGAGTAAATATTCCTTCTACTTATGCTTCTGTTTCTCAATTTTCTTTCCATAATCCCACATTCTGAGATTGCTCGAGCCTCTAAGGGGAGTAGAAAGCAATGTCCATCCCTTTCACTTTGAAAGCTAGGCCCTAATTTGGTAATTGAATTATGTCCCTTTTGTTCCACACATACAATACCTATCATTTCTCTCTAAAAACCATAGGTTTTTAGTTTGGTAATTACTAACACACATAAATTTCAAATCAAAATGGAAATAGCTTATAATAGCCTGAAGTGCAGGTGCCAAACTGAAATCACACCAGAGAATGCTCAGAGAGAAGCAAGTCTGGCCTTTTAATACCTGGTTCCTAATAAACATTTCTCTCAAGGAACATAATAGTGTTTTAAACTGTGTTTTCTTCATATGCTCAAATTTGCTTTCCATGGTGGCTCTTCCAAATCGCCATGTCACTATACTTATTTCCTGAAATTTTTTCTTGGCCAGTAACCATCTGGGTTTAGGTTCAAGTTGTCATTCAATGAACTTCTCTGCAGCTATGAAGGGTTCAAAAGTGCTGGAGGAGGATGTGTGGTAGGTCAGGTCCATGATCAGCTCTGTGACTGTTTAATATAACTTTCCTGTCTTATGCTGCCACATTTCAGCAAGGTGTGTTGCCTTAAAGGAGTTCACACTCATTTTTTTTTTAACAGTATCTGGTAATTTTTAACACTCTATTGGGATTTTTTTCTTTCTTTCCTAACATCTGTAAAAGCATAATGTGAAACCAAACGAAAAATGAAAGGAGAAGGAGGTGAAAGGATGGAAAGGTCATTGAGAACTTGGGTGAAGTAAAGGAGCACAAGATAAAAAGAAGCCATGTCACGTCCACAGGGCCAGAGGTGGAGGGAGGGGGATGGAAGGCCACATCTATCTGGGTTGGGCCTTTCCCCATCCTTGTCGATTTTGTATTAAAGACCTCATGGCACTGCAAGATAATGATGAGGCAAATAGTCTATAAGAGCAAAGAGCATTGAAGGGGTTTTAAGGGGTAAAACTGGCTGTGCATGTGAGAAAAACCTTCTAAATGCCTGGTGCTCCATCAAATTATAACTTATTGGGTGTTCATATTGGAGGTGACTCAAATAGAGGATCAACATAAAGCTAGAAAGTAGAGAAACAGAACCCCTTAAAGAGAGAGAGAAAAGAAATAACATCATGCTCTCATGGGCAGGGAAGAAAAGGAAGCACCTGAACACAGTTGTAAAGTCCTGGCAGGTGAGCCAGCACTGGCAGTGTACCTGGGGAGGTCAGTATGTGACACACAGGAGCTTCAAGGTGTCAGGTCCAGAGGGAAAGGCAGACCACCAAGAATTAAACCTAATACAGAAAGTCTGTTTCCACGGCCATGCCTAAATAGACAGGCAACCAGGCTAGAAAACCTAGTGACAGAGCCAGGCAACCCCTTGCTCCCCTGAACCCCAAAGCACTATCTTTCACAGGGTAGCATGGCCAAAGGCAGAAAAGAAACTGTCAAGGGTGGCAGACTAGTTCGGCAGAACAAATAAGACTACCTAAGGGCCAGTGAGGGTGAAGCATCAATCACAGCTCTGAACTTCCTGTGAGAATACCAAATACACACTAGAAAACTACATTAATCTCCAGCACAAAGCAATTTCTCCCTTGGGATTCCATGTGGAATACACAGTGGACATTGTCCTTTACTTGAGCTACACAAGATATATAGAGGTCACTTTTCAAATAGCTGTTTATTCTGACAATCTCCCATCAAATCCAGAAGTAACATATCCTGGCAACCCAAAATGGTGATCGTCCCACCTGAGGAAAAGCTAAAGGGAATTGTGTGTAGGACCCAAAATCACCAGTAGACATTTCTTTTTTCCTTATCTCTGAGAAGGACAACAGTATTTTCCACCCCTTTGAGGACAAAGAGGTGGCAATCCATGCAGACAGCTTGCTGTGATTTTAGAACTAATTACAAAAGCAGCAGAGTATTGATTTACTTCTGGGGCAGTTCAGCTTCTTTTGTCCAATCAAAGTCCCCAATAGAATCTCCATTCAAGGACATAGATTGCTGCTTGTGAGGGTTAAAGAAGAGAGAACTGGAGAAATCTTGACTCTGTTTCTTTCCTGGCAGATGCTGGGGAAGTAGGGCATGAGCTATGTTGGGAGCAGCCCTCTGGAGGCTTTCCAGGATTCAGTTTCCTTGAGGAATTCTTACTGATTATATGATGTTATAAGGTAGAGATAATGGTGTTGGTACCTTGAAACAACTGACATTCTTACCAAGTTGAAGGAAGGAGGTTGAAGGACAGTTTTATTGCTTTTCATCACTTTGGGGCTCATAATAATTTCTCTGTAGTCACACATACTCTAAAGGTGTGTAAGTTTATGTAATTATATTTTGATGAACTGTATGATTTTTATGGTGAGAACGGCAACCATGAAAGCAGATGTTTTTAAGCAGGGTATTTAATTTCCCCCCTCATCTTCCTGAGATGCTGTCCTACTAGCCAATGAGAAGAGTGATGGATTTAAATAAATCAGTGTGCAATATTTGGGAGTTATCATTTCCCACCACCCTTCTCATTGTACAAACCACATTCTTCCAACACTCTCACTTATTTTCTTCCTGTGTTGGAAGATCATTTCATTCAGAAAACCCCTCAGAGGCAACCATAGTTGAATAATTTTGAGAAAGCAGTAGGCAGCTCTGATATTTCTCATGGTCCTTGCTCTCAAGAAGTGACCATTACTGTGGTAGCATGGCCGTAACACTGGTTTTCACACCCTGCTTGTGTGTCCCACAGTCATAGAGGAGTGGCAGAAGAAAGGTGTACAGCCCTGGCAGCTCATCGAACCAGTGGATGGATTCCACCCTAACGAGGTAAGTCCAGTCACACAATGGTTATTAAGAAGGCAATTAGCTTTTTAATATTATTATTCATCCATATGCTTTTGTTCTGTTTTATTCCAGAAATAATTTGAGGTAATATACACAGATGCGTCAGATGAAAGATTCAGTACAAAAAAAGTAGAAGTTATGCTTAAAGGAAAATAAGGTAGAAATTAAACCTGGCTTCTGGCTTAATGGTAGCAGCTCATAGGGTGTGTGCAATGAAGTCCTAATAAACTGCCTACAAAATCATCTCTGCTTTCTACAGGCTGATACCAAAAAAAAAAAGTATAAAATCATTCATTTTATCCATAAGATAAAAAATAATTGAAGTGCTACCAAAAAAAAAAAATCACAAGGATTCCTAGAAGTGAACCTATAAGAAATTTCCTTTATAGAGCCTTCTAGAAAAGATGCCATGTAAGAAAAGAGCAATGTTCTACAGTCTATAGTAAGTAATGTAATGTAGCTACAGTCTATAGTAAGAGCTCTCGCTCACCTCGAATTTCATAATACAGTTTTAGAAAGTCGCAATTCTACTCTGCCCTCTTTATATAGCAAGGGAACCTGGAGAGCAGGACTCTCTCCTCTCCTACCCCAACCTCTAACCATTATCATGGCTTCAATAGAAGTTCTACTTTTATCTGTTATACATTCTGGGATTACTCATTTGTTTTCTTTACTTTTAAAATATATAAAAGAAAAAGTGGGGAAATAGTTCTGCCACTTTTTAAATTTTCTCACAAAGTGTTTCTGACCCAGCCTTTGGTAAGTGTGGTAGCTGTGATGAGGGTCCTCTTGGCCTTGGCTCGATCCATTAGCCAAACCACAAGAAAGGCTGATGGTTCTCACAGGAGCCTGAATTAGTCTTTATCTACTCCCCTCCCCACATCTACCTCTTGTTCTAGGTCCAATGGGTGCCCTAGGCATTATCTAAAAAAAAAGAGAGAAAAAGGGTGCCTCTTTCTCAGCACATAAACAGTGGAGTTCCACAAATGGTATGGAATTTGCAAAGTCAATATTAATTGTCTTTTTCATTGTTTAAAAATCACCCAAAAAGTTAATATGAGTAACACATCTCAGAATATCTAACCCTCCTTTGTAAACTGGGTGAGTTAATCCAAAAAAATTATTGACTAGAAGTTGGTTACATATTAGGGTCTGCCCAAGGAGATTACAACTGAGATGGAAAAATGCACAAAATGTTGTTTAAAAAAAAACTATTATATTATTTTTAAAAAATTGCCTTCCCCATTCAAAAAAAAAATATATATATATATATATAGTAGGGTCTGATTCCCAAGAAATTATGTGTTTGGTTTTAGGATAGTTAATGAGGATCCCTTCTTTCTAAAAATAATTAGGTAATCATTCTTGTCATTCTCTGCACAAGGCAGAATTTTAGCCTTCTGATTCTATAGAGAATAGGGATATAAAGAGTTGGCCAGGGACGATGCTAATGAGGAACAACCAAAAAAATAAATAAATAAAAACACTGAAGACAACTTTGTTTTATCTCTATGGACATGTCTTCTGATCTATCAAATGATCATCCTACTCCAACTTTTAAAATAATATTCAAATTCAGGGTCTGTCAAATTGGGCTATATCTTGTACTCCAGTAGCTTCACCTGGAATTGATTACTGAAAACAGAAGCAATCATCTAATTTTGTCATTATCTTATTATCCCTGAGAGAATTGTTCACATGCCTACAGTGGGTGTTGGACTGGACATAATGGTGCAGCATCGCCGTAAGTGGGTGACATTGAATAAACATTCCGAAAGCCTGCCTGTGCATATTGAGCTGAAAGGTTCAGATTGCAACTTGTTAGTCAAAAGTGTTTGATGAATGGTGTCTAGTGGGAAGGAGATCCTTTGGGAGGATCTTCTGTGTGAGAGACAGTAATGTCCTGAACAAAAGCAGTGGAGTGGCAGAAGGAGAAAGATTTGTATTAAATTCAGAAACATGGTTATTTATTGGATATGAGAATGAAAAAGAATGAGATGCTCAGCAGTGACACCTTTTTTATGACTTGGGAAACTGGACAAATGATTCCATTGCCCAACGAGGCAAAGAACACAGGACAGGATGGTTTAAAGAGAAGCTTAGTGCATGTTGTGTTTAAGGAACTTACAGAACATCATAACGGGGATATCCTTTCAGAAGAGAATACACAAACTTAGAGCTCGGGAAGAGGTCTAGATGTGAGAACCATCACGATAGAGTTTTGGCTTGAAGTCTTAGAGAGGAGCTTCTAGTAGTCGCTGCTTCAGTCACTGTGCCTTACAGCAAGTGCAGTGCTATGGAACCTTTTCGACTGTGGGTTAACCATGAGAGTCAATATGGTGACTGTCACCAACTACCCAATCAAGCAACCTCAGTAGCTGCCACTCCTCCTTCCTCCCTCCACATGGATTCATGCCTGAATCCTGGAGAAATCAGACTGCAAGTAAAAGCTGAAACTATTGCTTCACTAAAAATTTGCATAAATCACTGAGGTAGTTACCCCTTTGTGTCACTCCACCTATGAGAATTTGAAAAGCCACCTTACACAGACCAGTGACTAGAAAGATCAGACATGGTTTCAGCACCAGGAGGCCTACTGAGAAACAGCAGCAGCAGGCAGATAGGTGTGTGGCAATGCCCCACAGAAGCACTGGGTTGGTGGGTTACCTGCCGAAAATCCTCAGTGCCCTTCAAAGTGGAAGAAGGGCTAACTCTTCTGGAATTAACAATGGCATTTAGACAAAAGCAGCACCACCCACATGGCAGTTACCTCAGGACTCTGAATTGGGGGTTCTGCAACAACTACAGTCAACTGAAGGGGAGGATTGAACTCCATTATCCATTATCCAGTGAACTTCATTATCCACTTAACCAGAATCCCAGCCCCTAGCATTCTGCTGGACCAAATTTTACCCTATCTGTACATTTAAAAGGGTCCGTGAATGAGGCAGACCATGATCCCTTCCAGTGCTGCTGATGTCTGTGCAATAGCAGAAAGAAGCTGTTTCTGTCCCCAGCCCGTAGGACAAATGCTAGAGAGATATGTGGCAGAAGTCTTCCAACAGCTAAATAAATCAGCCTGCATCCCTCTGAATGAAATACCATGCATCAGATAAAAACAATGATATAGTCCACCTTTAGTGCTCTATAGATCACAGAGATATGTTTGTAAAGTAGAGCAAGAATGTAAAAGCAGATTGTGGAGGCGATGACTCAACATATGACTGTGTGTAAATTATACGTATATATAAATATATAAAATGGTATTTACAGAGGCATCCAACTTGTGTGTGTTAGTGTGTGTGTGTGTACATGGAGATTCAAAATCAGAGTCTCTATACAAAATGGCACTTCTATTATAATTATTGATTATTCCCATTGTTTTTATCTCTTTGCTTGTCTTTCAAATTTCTCTAAAATGAATAGGTATTGTTTAAATTTTAAACAATAGGGAAGCACAAGAGAATATCTGTGTTTAAAAAGAAGCTAACTTGAAGTGATGATGGTAAAGGAAATCCTGCTGGGCCCTGGGTGTTATGTCTTGGGAGTTCTAGAAGAAGCCCAGTGTTTATGAAATGAATGAATAATTATACTGGGTCATTCTATCACAAGTATCCAATCTAGAAATATCAGTGTAATTCTCATTTTAGACTCACTATTAGCACGTGCATGCATAAATATATTCATTTCCATAGAGTCACAACCAACTAATTGCTTTCAAATCCAACAGTTACCACAGGCTCAAATCTGAGTCCTCTCATTTTAGCTTTCCTCTTCTTACCCTCACCCCTGTCTCCTTCCTTATTAATTTGGATTAGAAAATAATTGACCACAAATGCTTGGTACCACATAAATGTCAGGAAGACAGTTTAGGTATATCGAGTTGAAAGACAAACAAAAACCAGAAAAAACCACCAGTGATTTTTCACAAACCTGGCCACAGCCTCTGTTGAGACATAGCATCAGCAACAGCTGTTCCCTTTTTCTTCAAAGATACTGATCACACTATGTATGAGAGATGACTTGACAGCTTCTGTGTGTTATATGTATTGTGTGTGTATATTTGAAGTGATGTATGTGGTGTGGCATATAGGGATGGGATGGGATTTGTGTGGGGTGTATACATATGATATGTGTGTTTGTTGCTAAAGAGCAGCATGAGTGGTGTATGTGTATTGTGTGTGATGTGTATGTGTGCATGTGGTGTGTTTATGTGGAGGGGTCAGGAGGGTTATATATGTGTTAGTCAAATCAAGATTACATCATTAAATAGCTAGAAAGTTCAAGAATATACTAAAATACTGGGGATATTTAATATTTAGCAATTCAACCAACTCAGCTTTTTTCTAACAACTGCTAAATTTTTACACACAGTTTATACTGAGGAAGGTCTTTAGATCATTTGCTTTAGTGCACTCATTTTACAAATGAGAGAACTGCAGCCTAGAGAAGGGAAACGGGCTGCCTGATTTCACACAGAGCTGCCAGCCTGCCCATTAAAATGGTGAATGGGAGCTGCTCTTCAGAGACAACATCCGTATACTCCTGAATATAGTCAAGGACATCCCTGAGCATCCTCTCTAGACAATGCATTCCCCTCTGAGTCCTTCAGCAACCAGATTTCTCTTATTGGGCAGCATTAAAAACCCTGTGAAGATGTAGCTATCTGGGGCCTGGGGCCTGGTTGAGATCCATTTGCTAAATGAGGGCATTATCTGCAAAGAAAGATTCCCCATCAAAGGTATGTTAAGGAAAACCAGAGGGTTGGAAAGCCAAGAATGGATCGTGCTAACTTGCGAATAAAAGGAAACCTGGTATAATTAATGCAGTTAGGGAGCATCAGACTGGGCCAGTCAGAGCTTGATCCATTGTGTATGGAGCCAAGATTCCTGGTACATTGGTACACTAATGACACTCTGCTCACAGCCTCCTCACCCAGGCTCCCAGAAGCATCATACCATTCTATCCCACAGCTCTGTGCCTTTTTGTGCCTTGACCATAGTTTCCCCACATGGCTCATCTGGTGAGTCCCTCTTTGAAAATGCAGTTCTACTATCACCCTCTTCAGAGAAAACCTGTCCTTTCCCCTGACTTTGCACTGCTTCTTCCAGCTTTCACAGCCTATATATGGGTTTGGGGGCATCACTTTGCATGTCTGGTTCCCTAACTGAACTGAGAGTTCCCTGAAGGAAAGATTCACTCTGTTCATAGCCAAAACACAGGCCTTATATCTCTAGGAAATGTCAGCTGTCCACAGATAAATGAATAGATTTCCAGAAAATGTATTTGTTATCTATTACAAAATAGCAAATCACTACAAATTTAACAGCTTTAAACAATATACATTTACTATCACCCGGTTCCTATAGGTCAGAAGTGCTGGCAAATTCAAGTGCCTCCTCTACTTAAGGTCCCACATATGTCACATCTAGACCACATTTTCACCTGGGGAGAAAACTAGAGAAGAGCTGACTGATTTCAAACTCAGTTTGTTCATGGAATTCGTTTCCTTGTGGTTTTAGGGCTGAGGACCCAGGTCCTTGCTGGATATCAGATGGAAATCATGTTCCTTGCCAGGGGGGTTTCCCAGCATGACTTCTTGTGTCACTAAGAGTAGATAATGTGACATAGCCATTGAAATGACACCTTTCACCCTTGCCATATTCTTTCAGTTAGAAACAAATTAAGGTTCCTCGCGTGTCAAGGGAAGCGAGGTATACCTAGAAAGGAAGGCAGGGATTGTGGGACACCATCCTAGAGTCTGTCCACCGTGAGAGCCTAGACTGAATCTTGCTGGTAAATTCTTTACCTTACTCTCATTTCCCTTTTCCACCTCCTTTGTATTCTTTCTTACAGGTGGGTTTGCTGCTGTTGGCAGATCGCTTCTGGAAGAAGGTACAGCTCCAGTGGCCCCAGGTCCTAGGAAAGGAGAATCCATTCAACCCCCAAATTGAAAAGGTGTTTGGAGACCAAGGAGGGCACTGAGTCTCTGAGGGACTTGCACTCCTGGAGAGCTCAGGGAAACAGGAGTTTGGGTAAATTCATTCAACAAGCAGTATGGGAACTGTGATGGTACCAGCTTACAGGTCCTCTTTAACAGCTTTTTTGCCAAATGCTTTTCTCTCATTTTAGAGCATATCTGATAACCATGCAATTCTGTGTACTTCTGACAATTATTTTTTCTCTGGAAGATTTTCTTACACTCTTTGGTTGCATAATCTTATTGTCTATTCCAATGATAATAATTCCATATATGATAATACTCCAATAATGATATCAATGTCTATAAGAAATTAAATAGGTTGTTTATGATTGATAATTTAGGCGTTTCTTTTAGACCTACAAGTGGTAAAATCAGGTAAATTTTTATCACATTGGGAAGACTATCAAATTTCTTCTGTAAGAACTAAGAAGTCACATCTCCTGTCTGTAATGCTGTCAAAATATTGTTTGCATAGGAATTCTATTCACACTATTCTAATTCAGTGTCACTCCCTTTCCCACCTCTAGTTGCAGACCATATTAAGGGGTCAGTCTATGTAAGACTATTCCCACCTCAGGCAGCGTCAAGTGGGCACATCTTCACATCTTCCTAATTTCTGCCCTGAAGAGCTTATTTGACATAGCTCAGTGTACTAGGGATTGGCAATTAAATATACTACTCTGTGGTGGTCAGTTTGGGGAGGCATTCTCCATGCTCCTCAGTAGTCTCTGCATAATCAGCCCTTTCCTTCATGACAGCTACATTTAATAGTGGTTCCTCCCTCCCTGTGTCACCCTTACTCCCTCATTCTTGCTTCCTGAGGTGGCTTCCCCAATAAACACCTGCACCCAAATCTTTGTTGCTAAAAAGAGAAAAAATAATTTGATAGTGTAGATGTAACTGCTCATGCTTTATTATGATTATAATCCTGATAGGGAGATACTTCTGTTTCTACCAGGCACCCTCCCCCCCCAAAAAAAAGCCAGTCTCCCCCTAGGTGTACACATCTGGTGATTTGAAGGAATTGCCACAGGCTTGCGTCTAGCTCCAGCTTTCCTGTTGTTTTCCTCCATGACCCCCACACTGTTAGTGTCTGGCATATAGGACACTTTCATACTGTCCTCTGATCCCTGGCTCTGCACTTTGTCATGATGCTGGTGGCCAATAAGAGCACACCCAGAAGCTCATTTTACACAAGGATGGCTTAGATGCACTGGAATGACTTCAAATATCCATATATCATATATTTATAATATATCCATATATCATATATATCCATACCCATATATCAACCTCAACCCAAGGTCAATGATCTCCATTTCTACTCCCTGCAAAGCCTCATGGCTACTCCAGAACCTCAGGATATAAGGAAAAATATGATAGAGAGAAAGAAATTATGTCTAAACTATCTTATTTTTGCAAATTTTACAAAGTACATGACCATGTGATTGCATTCTTGGGGTCCTTCCAGGGCTTTGGAAGGGATCATACAACTTAATCTTTATTCAACTTATGGAAATCCACCTCTGTCACAAGATTAATTCACCAGGTTGTGAGGCTTCAGTTTTTAGTCAATACACTTGTAATGCTGTCAATCCATTCATTTCTGTCATATGGATGGCAGCATATGTTCAGTATGACCAGCACATATCCCCAGAAGGGGAACGAGCAGGGGGCCACGACGGCCTCAGGAGGCTGCCTGTTTCCAAAAGGAAATAGAAACTAGGAGAATGAATTGTAGAGTGTGAGGCTTGGTGTTGTTGGACATGGAAACTGGTATATCCACCTCCTGAGGATTAAATCCACTTGTAGGGTCTTGGTAATTTAGTACTGGTTTTGGGGTTTAACAATTCATATTATTTTTAAACACCAAAATACCAGTACTTGGTTGCAGTATTGTTTTTTATCTTTTTGATCTGAAGTCTTAACCATTTGGTCTCAAGATATACTCAGAGAACTCTACACTAAAAGTTGCCATCTTTCCAAAAGACTATTCAATTCCTCTTCTGTTTAAAATACCTTTAAGGTAGTTTATTGCTGTTGGAAGCCTATTTCCCAGAATACTAGTGAAACTGATCATCTTGTATTACTTTTGCTATTCTTTGGGGGCTAGAGAACTCATTTTAGGCCCTGATCTTCTAGAAGCCCTGAAAGACTGGGTTATTTTAAAATTTGAGTGAAAATCCTTCAAGAGAGATTTCAGAGTGCGCAGGGTCCCACATGAAATGTCCTGAGCCTAAACAGCTTCTCTCTGCCATCAGAAACATCATCTCTGTCCCTGCCAGAGTTTCCTGTTAAGTTATCAGGGCCTGAGTCTTACCTCTGCTGAGGAATAATTTAACCAGTTCTGTCCTATCATCTGCACATGAACACGCTCAGTTTTGGGAGGACAGACGGTCCTGGGTCCTGAGTCCTGGCCTCATCTGGGGGCACAGCACCAAGCAGTCATGAGCAGAAGTCTTGATGACCCATCTCACTTTAAAAATTATTAGTTCATGTCTTTTATTCACTCATACACAATTACTTTTCCTCTGGTTTTTGAAACAATAGGTCAGAACAACATTTGCTACAATAATGTCTGTCCATGTGACTGGCCATAAAAACTCCAGCACCACATTCTCCTGATGGGTGAGCCCAATGAAGGTGACTGATTCTACCACCACATCCACCTGATAATATTTCAAGACAGCCAACTTAATCTTTTTCTCTTATATTTCTTTTTCTTGGGAGTGGTATAAGACTTCTTTTTTCTCTTCTTAGCAACACCATACATCTCATTACAAAGAGTGGACACCTCTTGAATTTTGTAGTCAGAGAAAGTAGGTCCATCTCCCAGTTGCTTGCCAGCAAATATCAGTCTTCACTGATCAGTAGGAATCATTTCTTATTCTGGGTCTTGGCCTTCATGTTTTCTATCATGTCCCAGGGTTCAATCTCAAGAGTGATAATCTTCCCTGGAAGGGAAAATCTGCTTCTTGACAGCAGTTCCACTATGGACAGTGGATCAGAAATGAACATCTCACTTTTTATAAAACACCAGCACTTCACAGTACCACTGTATTCTCCCAAAGACCACAGTCTGAGGCCAGAGCCTTGCCCAGAGTTGAAGCTCATGGTGCTGTGTTACCACATGTGTTTAATTTTCTATACTCCAGACCAATCCAGATCAGTCCTTAGAGATTCAACCAAGTTCTTTCTGCCTAAGTTGAGAATGCTCTGTCTCTTTAACCTGCCTCACACCTTTCTTGTAAAATCTGAGTGTCCAGACTTTACAGGAAAACTGCAGGGGAATCTTCAACCCTTTATTTCTACACTGGTGCCCTCTGAGCTCCTGTCTTCAGCCTCCAGATTTTCAGAATTCCTGGTGTGTGAACACTATCCTCTGAGAGGCACCTGAGGTCTTTCCAGAGGTGACACAGTTCTATATATGTCTTTCCCTTACCACAGTTGGTGAGCAGTACCAGAACCTAAATGGAAGCTTCATGAGTTAAGAACCAAATGGGAATCATGTTTACTACCATATCTGTGCCCCTACCATACCCCCTGGCCCAAGAGAGATGCTTAACAAATAGTATTGAGTGAATGGATGAACAAGTGAATGAATGAAAGAGTGAGTGAATGGGATGTTAATGTTGTTCTTTGGGTCACAATTCAATATTTCTTGCCATTTAATGACAAAAATGTCTTTCTCAAAATATAGTTTAATTAGACCCATTGAATCATACTCCTTGTAGTGAGTAGCATAAGACAGAAAAACAATCAACACTAAGGAGTCACTAAGTGACTCCCTCTCTAGATACCCTTGGCAGGACAATTTAAATTTCATCTAAACTTGAGTGATAAATACCCTAACACTATTGTCACTTGCTTCTACTCATCAGACAACAGGTCTGTCTTATTCTTCACTATTAAATGTGGCCCCTTGGTTTCTATATGAGTGATTATCAAAAACCTATTTCCCCTTCTTCCTGGGAACTTTGCCTTTTGGGTCAGAATTCAGTGGGGGGGGGAAATATGTTCAGGCTCCCCAGCTAAATAGACCAACTAAATATCTTTATATAAGACTTGTGTTGATACAAAACATACAGAACCAGCTTCTCCACTCCACCCTCTCACCAAGTTAATCCCTCTGGAGAAGAATTGTTCCCTCCTTGGGATAGCCTCCCCAGAACTCAGAATGCCTCTGAACTTAAATAGGAAAAAGATCATCCTTTAGATAAAATTTAACATGTCCTTTTATTATAAATGTAGACCACAAAAACAGCTGGTTTGGCACAAATATTTTCATATCACATTACATAAATTGTACATACAATCAGTTCTCATTATTCATGGCAGTTATGTTCTACAAAGTTACCTTGAACACTGAATTAGCACATACTGAAGCACAGATCTATAGTTAGGTTCTCATGAGCCGTTGGTCATAACAATTTCATCATATACATATGAGCATATACATAACCTCATTTTGTGCACAGTTTTTGTTTAAACATACCTTACTTAATTTATGTTTGATTTATTAATATCAAGCTCACAGCTGACGAGGCCCTGACTGAGACCTGAATGTAGCTCATTCATACATGTATTTTTTCTACAAGGCACATCATGAGCTCTTGTACTTCCATGCTGCACTTGAGAGACATTTTCAACATAGAAATCACCCACAAAAAGAATAAAAATATCCCAAATGTGGCACTAACAGGTATGAAAGTTAAACAAGAAAGCAGGGCTTCACCTCAGCAGGGAAAGGGTATGTCAGATGACATTCTTCACTGCTGGAATGACCACAACAGTGTCCTGAGTGTTAGCTTGAGAGCTACAAATAAATTTCAGCAAGTTGGCAAATTCACAAGCATAGAAGTCATAAATAATGAGGGTCAATGCTATCTTGAATTAACATGCATGGTCATCAACACATTGAAACTGTAAATTATTAGATCCCCTCTTTGCTTTTAATAATGTTAACCCACATAGGGATTCCCAGGCTTCTCCAGCCTGCCAGGGAGGTACAGTGCACTAAAAGGTTATGTGCTCTGGGGAGTGGAGCTTTGAGACAAAAGAACTCCACAATTTAAAAAGTCTGGTAGTGCAACATAATTTATTTGCTTCCTAGAAAGGACCGGGTGGAAGTTCTGCAGTAAAGTCTGTTTGGCTCATCAGTTACCCAACATTTCTGACCCAATCCTTTACTGGTATGAGAGCTGTTAATACTCTGTGGGCATCATGCGCTACAGAACCACCATGG